AACTATCCCAAGTATTTCATTTGTAATGACCATGAAGAATACAATATGGATGTTGTGGCAAATAGTCTCAATGAATTCTTTGTAACTGCTGGACCAAATTTAGCAAGAACAATCACTCATCCTGGGAAAGCACAGGAAAAACCCGATACACTGATTGACAGAAATCCATATTCTATGTTTCTCACAGCCGTTGATGGAAATGAAGTTCTTGAAATTGTCAAAAAATGTAAAAATCACAAATCTTTGGATTGTAATGATATTGATATGATAGTGGTTAAAAGAGTCATTGAGGCTATTATAAAACCATTTACATACATCTGTAATTTATCATTTCAAACTGGTCGATTTCCAGACAGAATGAAAATAGCAAAAGTTATACCTCTATACAAATCTGGAAACAAACACCATTTCACAAACTACAGGCCTGTCTCTTTACTACCTCAATTCTCAAAAGTTCTTGAAAAACTGTTTAAAAACAGACTGGAAAAATTTATAGATAAACATAAACTACTCACTGAGAGTCAGTACGGATTCAGATCAAGCAGATCAACATCATCGGCACTATTAGATTCAATAGAATACATCACAAATTCCATAGACAAAAAGCAATATGTGGCTGGGTTATTCATAGACTTGACAAAGGCATTTGACACTATAGATCATGATATATTAATAAGAAAACTGGAACGTTATGGTGTCAGAGGGGTAGTTTTAGATTGGGTCCGGAGTTATTTAAGTGACAGAAAGCAGTTTGTGAAAATAAATGGTGGTTGCTCCTTATGTATGGACATTGCTTGTGGTGTACCCCAAGGGTCAGTTTTGGGTCCAAAATTCTTCAACTTGTACATTAACGACATCTGTAAAGTGTCCAAAGTATTAAAAATGGTTCTCTTTGCTGACGATACAAACATTTTTTGCTCTGGTGATGATCTGCAGAATTTATTGGAGGATATGACTAATGAAATAAGTAAAGTGAAGTTCTGGCTTGATAAAAACAAATTATCATTAAATTTGAATAAATCTAAACTTATGTTATTTGGAAATAGTAGTTTAAACACAAATGCAAAGATTCAAATAAATGGTGTTGATATTGAAAGAGTCAGTGAAAATAAATTTCTGGGGGTAATAATAGATGAAAAACTTAACTGGAGAGCTCACGTAAGATATATTCATTCCAAAGTATCACGAAGCATTGCAGTACTAAACAAGGCAAAACAGGTATTCGACAGAACATCACTTCATATTCTCTACTGTTCACTGGTTTCACCATACTTAAGCTATTGTGCAGAGGTCTGGGGCAATAACTATAAAACCACATTACATTCACTTTTTACTCTTCAAAAGAAAGCAATTCGAATCATCCACAATGCAGGTTATAGGGAACATACAAACTCACTATTTTTGCAGTCTGAAATATTGAAAATTGACAATATAGTGAAATTCCAAACAGCACAAATTCTATTCAAAGCAAAAAATAAAGAACTGCCAGGTAATATTCAGAGTATGTTTTTTTTGAAAGAAGGAAGTTATAATTTAAGGGGTTTTTGTAACTTCAAAACAATGAAGGTACGTACTACAAGAAAAGGCTTTTGTGTTTCTGTTCAAGGAGTGAAACTATGGAACAAACTGAATATGGAATTAAAGCAATGTCCAAACATAAAACTGTTCAAAAAGAGTTATAAAAATATGATCTTCTCGATCTATAAAGAAAAGGAAAATATTTAAATTAAGTGAATGTCTCTATTTAAAAACAAACAAACAAAAAATTCATGATGTGATATTATAGTATATAGTATATCAGAAATCTGTTCACTATTTTTATTACAAATTATATCAGTAAGGAAGCTGACTAAATATTCACTGATAATTTATGGGACAGGGGTGGGATTAAATAAGTGTATACTTCTTCCCACTCCCTTTCAACATGTAAATTAATCAGAATGTTTTTTTGTATGTAATTTGTATAGTATATATTTTTTTCTCTCATTTCTTTTCTAAATGTACTTGTATATTGTTCACATGTTGAAATAAATTACCAATCAATCAATCAATCAATCAATCAATTGTGATGGTGCTGTGTTTTTTTTATTATGTTGCTCTTTGTTGTTTGCTTTCTCTTCTGTTTTTTCTCTCCATACAGGTGACCCAGGTGTTTTGTTTTTCTTTTTTTTTTGTTTTCTTTCTTCCCCCCCTTCTCACGGTCTCTTCTCCCCTTTGGTTTTCTTTCTCTCCCTCTCTTTCTTTCATTCTTTCTCCCTGTCCTATCCCCCAGTCATGTCTGTCCCGTTTGTAGCAACTGAAAATAAAATAAATTCTTAATTATAATAAAGGTCAATCAAATGGACCAATATGGCAAGGCCATGATGATCCACTTGGTAAAATAAATCCGCTTGGCATCTTTCTTGGCCTTAAGACAACAATTCTGATGGCTAAAGATCCAAACGGGACACACACACAAAAAAAAAGGCTAACACTGAGCAGTGCTGATTTTCTAACACTGGAATATTTCTAACATTTTGAGTTATTTTCCAGTGTTAGAAAATCAGCACTGCTCAGTGTTAGCCATTGTTAATCTTCAAAACTGACTAGGTTACTTTTAAACATATAACACTGTCAAAAGTGTTAATTTAACACTCAACAGTGTTGTATTTAACACTCAGAGGTGTGGACCCATATAGACACTCTCCAGTGTTAATTTAACACTGGAGATTTTACTGTGTACAGAGACCTATTATCACATGCATTGAATGTCTTGTTCTCTCTCTCTCTCTCTTGGCTTGTTACTAGTTGTTGCTGGTTCACAGTGCAGCAGGGTGTTTTCTAATTTGACACATTTTGCTGCATTTATATTACTTTTTTGTTTTTCTGTCTGTTCACGTCAACCTTTTCACTTCTTCATCCGCACTAAACTCTGTTCCAAAATGTGCATGAAATTGATGGTAGGGGTCGTGCTGAGAGATTCTGATTGGAGAATGCAGTATCAGTAATGACAATGAATGAATAGGCTGTTGTCAGTGTGTGTAAGTACTGGTGCGCAGCGGCCCTTCAATTGGCTTAAAGGTGCATTGGCTTACTTTGGCATGTGGTCATGGCTTGGCCTCCCCAGAGCGTAGACACTAACATTACTGAAGCAATGTGGGATCATTTTGAGATAGCAAAACAAACAAATAAAAAAAATGATGTCGGAGAACTATTCCTGAAGACTTATATTTTCAGGAATAGAGCAAAGAACCAGTAATGTCACACACATGCACCAAAATGGTGGCGTGGCAAATCAAACATAAAGCTCTCATAATTGGCCACCCTGGGAATTTTACCCAAATTATGCTAATTACCAAGAAGGCACTTAGGTCTTTTACACCTAGGACTTAGACATGGTTCAATTAAAAACAAAACAACAATTTATTGACAACTAGTTAAAACATCACATAAAAACAAGAGCAGATGAATCAGTTGCACATGTATTCTAAAACTCAGAGCTGTGGCTTACCAGTGGGTAAGTGGGATGCCAGATGAAGGTAGGTCCAAAAAAAAAAGAAATCACCAATGCATACGTGCAGCACAACGTCATGCACACACACACACTAACACTATTATGCTGCTCAAGACAAGGGTGTATAATAAACGGAAGGTCCCACCACCAAGGCATCCCAGCCACCTCCACTTCCGGCCTTCTGCATCTGAATAAAAGAAAGAAACGTTATAATGTATTCCAACAAAAACCTAAATGCACCCTCTGTTGTGAGCCCAACTGCAGAAACACCCTGGTGATCCACAGCTAGAAAAAGGGCCTCCTTCCAGTGGTGTAAAACACAAACAAAAGTATACAAATCAAACAGTCAGAGACCAAATATACAAACAAAGTAAATGAAACCTTTAACTTTGAGCAGACGGCCTCACATGTCGGCTCAATGCTTTTCTAAAAATGTTCACCTTTAGTGAAACGGTAAACAACACTGAAAGAAAAGGCGACAAAAAAAAAAAAAAAAAGAAACCAAAAAGGAAAGGCTTTTGGGTTTCACTTCTGTCAATGTAGCCTGGAAAGGCAGTAGGGTATCGGCTGCCCTCTGAGGCCCACACTTCCTGCAATGCATCATACAATTAGTATTTACAGAAAAAGACAATAGAAGGATCGTTGCAGAGTTACGCACCGGTCAAACGGGGTCGCTGTTAACAAAGTGGCCCAGAGGAGGCTTCTGCAGCTACAACCTATCCAGGATATAATTGACTGTTAATGACTGGACTGTCACAATGGTTCCTTTCTTTTTTAGCCATTCTGCTATTAAATTTGCTGCTGTGTTTGGGACCACTGTCCTGTTGTATGACCCAGTTTAGCTTTCACTGTAAAGCAAATTGTACAGTCTCCTGCATTTTTAAGGAAATCCACTACTTTGATAGCTTCTGTCCTGCATGTTTTCCACTTTCTCATTGTAGCAAGCTGAACTTTAAATTGTTCAGAAATAGCCTTATAACCCTTTCCCGATTGATGGGCAACAGCACTCGTTTTGTATCTAGATCTGCTAAAGAGCAGCTTATTTATTTTTTCAATCATATTCTGGCACATAATACCTTAGAAGTAACAGAAGGCGTGCTTTCTTTTTTTTTTTTATAGTGACTGTATATCCCACATACTTTTTGAGAGATGACTTTTTATAACAAGCCTCGAAAAGACAAAGTGTCAAGAGAACAGAAGCACTGTCGGAAAAAAAAGCACAGAAAAGTAAAGTAAACCTCACCTACTTTATGAGATGTTATCTATGACCTGTTGCTGTGGTATTGGTAAAAGTAGAACAGTGCAATACTGGGTGGGAAAACTACTACAGTCAGGGTACACTCTCACAGCATCGTCTCCGACTTCAAAGACCCAACCAGCCAACCAAAAGAAAAAAACGGCATTTCACTCACGTGGTCACACACCAAAGTTATCTGTTTCCTGTTTGCACGCCATTTCTGTGGTATTGTGTAAGCATCTGGGCATGGTCTTAATACTATGCATGTATGTCCACTGTGCAGGCACACATGCAAAGAAGCTGTACGCTAAAATTAAGATGATTATTAGATATCAAATTTTCCTGCTTGTGTGACATCAAAGCTGTTAAAGTTGCCGTGCAGAGAAAAGGATTAAACAGCATATGACTCAACGGTAAGAAAACAGTATTGCTATTTAGTCTGTACCACCTTTAGGTTTGCACAGGATGTGACCGTTATCGTTCTTATGAGCAATTTATTGCTTTTTATTACAGTCATAGGGTATTTAAAGATTACTGTTTTGATACTGCACTTCAGTTTCTTGTAATTATTAAGAAACTCTCAGCTGAAAAGAGCTCGAAAAGTTTTCGTGCATTTAAAAATTTTGCTCTTTTGCGTGACCCTGTTTTTTGTTGCTTTGTGTTTAGGACATCCTTGATATTTACTTTTTGACACTCAGTGAGAACAAAATACCAGTTGCAGATATTTACATTCCAAATGAATAAATAAATAAATAAATCTTTTTTTTTAAGCTGGCATGGAAGACTTGTCAAGATATTGGGGAATCGACAGGATCTTGTTTCTCATATGCTGCATTGTCTCTATATCTTTACAAGCAGGTAAAATTTATTTTACGGCTTTGACAATGAGTATAATGTAATGGAAAAGTTTAATAGTTTAATTTTTTCAGCTTTTGCTTTTATACTGGAAGCTACATGGAAAAAAGTATGAATAGTGCAAAATAAGCTTAATTTTATATCTGGATTATGACTTAAACTTCAGTTCTTTGTTTTTGGGGATGGGCTGTATTCTGCAACGTGCCTGCCTTTTTACAAAGCTGTGTATCCTTTTTTGTATATTTGTCACAAAATACGGTTAAATGTTGATTTATATCTCAAGTGAAGTAACCTATCCAGATCTACCTGATATTAAGAAGTAATTCCTCCCTAAATCTAAACCCTGTTGCGCAGCCTTGGCAGCAAGAACTGCGATCAGCAGTAACTTGTAATGCGTCTTTCAGATCACTGTGGACAAAACTTGACTCATGTCTTGGCCAGACACTCTTTAAGCATTTTCTTTTAAAGAGCAGAATTCATGAAAACAGAAAAGCAGCCTCCGACCATCACACTACCACCACCATGTTTTACTGTAGCTATGATGTTCTTTTCATGAAATGCTGTATCAGGTTTATAGCGCATGTGCCGAGGCTCAAACCTTCCAAAAAGACAAACTTCTTTTCTCTTGAGCCCACAGATTAATTTCCCAAAAGTTTCATTGATCAACAAGTTTTTTTTATGTCAAATGTGAAATAATCCTTTGAGGTTTTGTTTATTGGAAGCTATGTAACTCAATTTTTAGGGTGTTTTTTTTATTTATAAATGTTGAAACATGAATACTGACCTTAGCTGAGACAAGTGAGGCCTGAAATTCTTTAGATGTGGTTTCATACCTCAGACACCCTGTGTGGTTTTTTTTTTTTTTTTTTACCTCCTCATTGAGTCGTCAATTCTCTCTTGGGGTAATTTTGTTAGACTGGCCACTCTTGGGAAGGTTAATGTTTATTTACTTGTGGATACTGGCTCTCACTGTGATTTGTTGGAGTCCCAAAGCCTTAAAAATTACTTTATTACAGTCAGGTAGATTTGGATATCTTTTTTCCTGAACAAATATAATCACCATTTGAAAACTGTATTTTTAAAATGTATGTTGGTTATCTGCTCTGAAGCATACAAAAAATAGGAAGTGGGCAAATAGTTTTTTCACAGCACTGTACATGCGTTCAATATTGATAAAGTCAGAAAAAGGATGAAAAAGCAGAGCTGGCATAACGGTGGGCTGCAAAGTGACTTGAAGAGAAACCAGCATCGATAGTCAAGCGATAGTTGATAGTACCCATAGGGTACACAATGAGATTATGTACCCTATGGGATATAACAGTTGAAAGTGCGTAGGAGCATCAGCTGAGCTAACTGATATACCAGGATTAACTTCATTCAGTGACCTGCTCTGTATGTTCTTCTACTCTTTATGCTCAAAGTTAAAGCTAACCATCTACAGCAACTGTGACACGCTTTCATAAAAATTAAAATCATGTAAAAAAACAAAAAAACAAAACACATTTCCCAAAATGCAGTCCTATTCCCCAAAATACTGATGCTGCAGAATGTAAACACAACCCAAGCTTAGTATACTACAGGATACTATATATGTAATGGAAGTAATGAGTAAATGAGGCCTATAAAGGGATTTTTTTTTGTCTTTCAAGAAGCGAACAGCACTTCCAGGATGGTGGGGAGCACAGTGACCCTGCACTGTACCAGTAACACAACCGGTGACCTCCTTCAACTGACATGGGGAAGGAATGGGACTTGTCTTTTTAGTTTCAGGCCACAGAAAACCTCAAACAGCAGCTCTGTCACCTTAAGCAAGTCTCCTGCTGCTGCCACCCTGAATCTGATCATGTCCACCTTAGAAAGCCAATCATATGCACTAATCATAGAGAGCGCCCAGAAAAGTCACACAGGAAACTACACTTGTGCAATGACCACAGACTCTGGAGTCTTTGAACTGAAATGGGAGCTTGTGATTATAGGTGAGTTTATCAGCTTTTGAAGTTTTTAGATTGCAAAAACCAACCAACCAAACAGACAAAAAAGCACACCTTACACACCCATCATGACTGAATACAGTGTGGGGGTGGGGCAGAGGCTGGCTGATGGTGGGGCACGTAAAGAAGAAGAGGTTGGAAACAATGGCATTTTTTAGCTTATCCCATTTTTATCTTCTTTCTAAAATACACAAGTCCCTGCCCTTTTACTCTAAAGATTACACTGGATTAACTGCAGTTTGTGGGACTTTTATAGGCGGCTGGTGAGAGCACTACTCAAATGCTGTTCTAGGTGAAAGTTGAAAACTCACCCACACACAATAGCGCTGAGCACCTCTGGCTGCACTGACATTTCCTTCATAATTGTGCATTGACCTTAATGTTAGATTGTGTGGCAGGATTAATGCTTTTCCCACTCAAACCACAGTATGAAAGTAGAAATATAAAGCTCCCAAGTTTCAGACTTTACATGAATGACATGAATGACATGAAGCGGTAAAAAAACATTTTGTGAGATGCCTGAGGTCTTTTCAGAGACCACAGGGCAGGTGTAAGCACTTCTGACTTCCTTTCTGAAAACATAGAGCTAATAACAATAATAACAACAAAAAAACAAGATACTGCTGTTGGTTGGAAATTAGCATATCTGAACCAACTGAATTGCAGTGAAATGACTCACTTTTTTTATTTTATTTTACAGAGAACGCTGAAGCTGAAAGTTCGAATAAAATCAGCAAAGTTACAACAATTGCAATTATTGTACCTTCGCTATGTTTCCTGATCTTTATATTAACTGCTGTGATCATTCTCAGAGGAGTCTGCAAACGACGTTCACAGTGAGCTTCCTCCAGTCATTCTTTTACATTATTTTATGCCATTGCTATTACAAATAAAGTGTTTTTTTTTCTTTTTCTTTCTTTTTTACAGAACAATCACCCAGCCTCCTAGAAGGTTGGTAAGTATGGTAAGTTAGGAAGTTTCTTCGTTTTTTTCCCATTTATACACAATACTTAGACTTAGAAGGTCAAATAGATCTGCCACCTTTTCCAGCTCCACTAGCACAAGGACAGAAACCAACCAATACCACAATATCTGCATTCATGTTGTATTTAAGCTCCTTAAATATGATGTTTTGTTCCTCTTTTTTCCTTCTGCAGCGGGAGCCGACACAACCCACTTATGAAAACCTGGATTTTGAAGGTCGCCAGCAATGTGGACAAATTCAGGTTCACCCTTATAAATACAGGGCTGAGTGATATGAATCGCACAGTAAAAAAAGGCATAACTCTTTTAAACGATCATCCACTTTAAACAGCTTTCTCCCTGAGTGTGTTGTAATGAAGAGCACAATCTGTACTTGAAGATGCATTATTTTTTCTCTGGGTAACTGAAAACCAGTCAGAATGTGATATCATCGATTTGTAATCATAAGTTGACAGTTGACAGTACATCCCTGTCAGTTTGTATAGGGTGTGTAAATCCTGAGCAAAATAGCTTTCTTGGAGCTCCTAAATGCACTGTTATACACTCACTGGCTAATGTTGTTTTAAATGAATTCAGTTTTATTTATACAAGTCCAAATCACACTCTCATGTCATCTTAGGCTGCTTGTCTAGTAAGCTCAAGACGTTACAGTTTTACAGAGAGAACAAGTGCCCATTCATTATGCTCTCAGTGCTGCAGTTGCGAAAGTAAAACTTTAAACTTGACGCATTTGAACATGATAGGGTAGTTAGTGCGCTCATCTCTGATGCTGTCTCACAGTTTAATATAGGAGATGCAGAGAGAACCAGATCAAAGCGGAATTTATTTACTTAATTGAAGATTCTTGGTCATAAATAAGACTACACAAACCCTGATCACTGTTTTTGTTATCTGTGTATGCTTTCATTTCATAAATCAGACTTCAAGGCAAATAAGTTACAAGTATATTTATTGTTTTTCTCATCACCGGGTAAATGCAAATGCATGACAATGCAAAAAACATAGTTTATGCTGGTGTAACCTCACAGGCGATCTACCTTCTGTGGTTTTAGTACGATACGTCTCAACAGGTTACATACATAGAAAATATTCTTTCATCAGAGATTGTATATCACTGTTAAAGCACACTGTAGCAACAACCCCAAAAGGTTTGACACTGTGTGAAATAAAAACAGAATGCAATTATTTTCCAATCTCATAAACTCACATTTTACTATTTCATGGGAAATATGAGCTCATTTTCAGTTTAATGGCTGCAGCATGTGTCAAAAAAGCAGGGATAGTAGCAACAGAAGACTAATACTAATTAGGTTAACTGTTTTCAGGCCATTAGAACCAATTTTAGAAAATACGACATCTACAAATTGTGGAACAGTTTCAGAATAATGTCCCTAAACATGAATCTGGAGAAATCTCTGTGCACATGTGACAAGGTGGAATATCAATAATTGATGCCTGTCATGATTCTGTCATGGAGGTCACTTCATCAGCTCAGGAACACAGTTTACTGTGCCATCCACAAATACATGGAAACCATACTGGCTGAACCAAACAGGACCATCAGGCTCAGTACAGATGCCTGTATCTGTGATGGTAAAGTGTTGCATTAATTAGTGCTTATGGAACTGGCAGCTTGCATCTTTAAAGACGCCTTCAATGCTAGCCAGGTTAAAGGAAAGTCAACTTTATGACACTGCAGACTCTGACTTCAAGCTCACTAACGCATTAATGGCACTTTGTACTGCACTCATTTTGACTGTATTCTGAAGAGGAGAAACAGAGAGTCAATAAGATGGTACTAAGATCACATTTAAAGACTCTGCATGACTCAGTGGAACATATCTCACATCCTTCCCTTGTCTGTGGTCACTGGTGTGAAGTGGCGTCGATGCTTAAAAAAACAAAACAACCACAACTCACAACAGTGTTTGTTTTTTTTTTAGGTCAAGAAACTGTTTAATTCCAGGCACGGATGTAGGAGGTAATTTCCTGTGAAATTATTTTTCCAATCGTTTAAGAAATTAAACAATAAAATCTAAAAGTGCAAATAGTGCACTGCTAATGCAAGTAGCTTACTCAGTTCATCAGCTGGCAAAGTGAATGAAGAGAAAACTTAAAATTCATGATGAGGGCATTTTAAAAGAGAAGTGCAGTGCTTAAAAAATGCTTCAAAAGACACTAACAGTACACATGAGCCAAGTTTAAACTCAGCAAACTCCTACTGGTTGGAGCTGCCCATGCTGGCAGTCCACACCTCTAATTTTAAAAAGGCTGTAATAAAAACAAGAATAGATAAGTCCTAAAGTAGAAAAAACATCTCCCTCATCCATATTAGGTTAACTGGGGATTCAAAATTGCCCAAAGGTGTACATGTGAGTGTGAATGGCTTTCTGTCTCTATGTACTGTCTCTGCAGAAGACATTGTTGAACCCCTCTCCCCACAGCCCAACCTGTTTGGAATAAGTTAACACATTGCTCCAGTGTTGTTGTTGTTGTTGTTTTTTTGAATACGTATCATTTAATGTGTAGCACCTGTGCTTGTCAGTATAAATGGCTCTGTAGAGACTACATCGATCAGGCATAACATTATGACCACCTGCCTAATATTATGTCTGCCTCTTTTTCTGCTATAACAGTAAACAATTCCAATGCACTGTGTATTCTGAAACCTTTTTATGTGAACCAGTCTTACCTTTTTTGGCAATTTGAGCAAAAGTAAGTCATCTGTTGGATCAAAACATGTGGGCCAGGCTTTGCTTCTCATGTGTAAAATGGCCTGTATTTGTATAGCGCTTTACACTACATTCAGTCATTGGTGATGGCAAGCTACATTGTAGCCACAGCTGCCCTGGGGTGCGCTGACAGAGGTGAGGCTGCCGGACACTGGGGCCACCGGGCCCACCACCAGTAGGAAACGGGTGAAGTGCCTTGCCCAAGGAGACAACAACCAAGACTGTCAGAGCCGGGGCTCGAACCGGCAACCTTCCGATTACAAGACGAACTGCCAACTCTTGAGCCACGATCCCCCCAATGTGTCAATGACCCTGTTGCTGGTTCACCACTGTTCCTTCCTTGAACCACTTCTAATGGATACTGACTATTGCAGACTGGGACCACCGCACAAGAGCTGGGTTACTGAGATGCTCTGATCCCGCCGCCTACCTGTCACAATGTTGCCCTTTTCAAACTTAATCAGAGCCTTGCCCATTTTTCCTCCTTTAAACACATATAATTTTAGGGCAAAATGTTCATTTGACCCCTAATATATCCCACTCAGTAAGACGTGACATGATGATCAGCGTTATTAACGCCACCTGTTAGTGGTCATAATGTTATACCTGATCGGTGTAGGTCCTATAGTTACGTTGCAATCAAAGCCATAACTTTTGGAAACTGAATGACTTTATTTTGTACAGAAAAATAGAATGTGAGTGTTGAGTGTATAAAACAATGAAATAAAAAGGAAATAAAAAAGAATAAGAAACTACTTCTTCATTTAAAATCAAATTGACACAAGGGGAAAAGTCACTTACTCAATGCATTTGGTCCCTGCTGTGCCTCTGACTCAGTCTGACTCAGTCCTCAATCCATCATTGTTTGTTGTCACATCTTTTTTTTTTTTTAAACCAACATTGTAATTGTGGAAACATTTATTTTGAGGCTTGAGAACGGACATCATAAACCTGCGGGTGATGTCACAGAAGCTACGCCAATCTTTAATATCATATATGGGAACAGGTCTCGGTGACTTCATAGCTGGTTATGGCCATATATGGAATAAATACATCTTTAGAACATCAGAAATCAATAATTTGCAATTCAGTTAATGGGAAATTCTTATATTATTTCTCTTTTTCAAAGATTTAGAGTTATCATGAATTGTTTTAAAGCTAGCAGACATCTAAAGTGCGAATAACTGTAAAAAAAAAAAAATAGATATAACTTTTAGTTTACTCAGTGGTCATTCATTGTCAGCGTTGCTGTGAATGAATATCACCCCCACAACATCCAGCCAATCAAGAAAAATGAATTACTCACATGGCCAGCGACCAAAGTCATTCACTTCCTGTATGGAAACCACTCTAATATAAGTACTTGGGCAAGGTTGAATCTTTTGCATACATGCTATAGCTGGTATACTGTATAATTACGATGATTATTATATATACACTTTACTTGTTTTTGTGGTCTAAAACGTGTTAAAGGTCTGTTATAGAGATAAGGACCATACAGCATATGACTCAATACTGGTAAGAAAATGTTGCTATTTCTGTTGTTACTGCATTAGGTTTACACAGGATGTGATCTTTCTTGCTGGAATTATAGGTTATCTGTTTGCAATGAGACATATTTAAATTCTTCTACTGTTCTTCAGTTTCGTGTAATTATAACCCTGAAGGTAAAAAGTCTTCACACGCTTAGAAGTTTTGTTATGGTATGTTTTGCGCTAAAGTGTTTATTGCGTTGTTCACTGTACAAGACATTCTTGATAATGACATGTATTACATGAATCTCAGTTTACAAATATCGACAATTCATCTGTTATATTATAAGGTGGCTACTTTAAAAATGTTATGTTTCTAAATGGATTTTTCTTTCAAGTGGGGATGGAAAACCTTTCAAGATACCTGGACATCAATCGGACCTTGACTCTAATATGTTGCTTCTCCTGTATTTTCTTGCAAGCAGGTATTAGCAATTTCTGTGATGATGATTATAAGTTATGTTTCTCTTTCTAATTAAGAGGTTTATTGTAAAAACAACAACAACCATAAAAACAATAAAAAAAAGAAGACATTTTGGAGGATGTTGTGGCTTATTGTTAGCAAACTTGCTTGTTTAGTTCAGTCAGTGCAGCTTAACTCCAGTACAACATTTTGTGGATGCAATCTTTATTTCCACAGTGTTTATTTTTTATCCCCTTCAGAAGGTAGCAGCACTTCCTGGATGGTCGGGAGCACAGTGACCCTGCACTGTAGCAATAAGTCAATCAGTGACCTCGTTCAACTAACATGGAGAAGGAATGGGACTTGTCTTTTTAGTTTCAGGCCACGGAAAACCTCAAACAGCAGCTCTGTCACCTTAAGCAGTAATCAGAAAACCCCAGACAGCAGAATTAGGATGTTTCCTCCAGCTGCCCCCCTGAATCTAAATATGTCCACATTGGAAAGCCAACTGTACGCACTAATCATAGAGAGAGCCCAGAAAAGTCACACAGGAAACTACACTTGTGAAACAACCACAGACTTTGGAGTCTTTGAACAGAAATGGGAGCTCGTCATTACAGGTGAGTTTATCAACTTTTGAAGTTTTCAGATTACAAAAACCAAACAAAATATTACTGTCACACATTTATCATAACTGAATGTGGGGATGGGTAGGCCCCATAAACAGGAAAAGGCTGGAAACAATGGGA